GTAAAATACTTTGCAGTATTTAGAACTGACAACCCTGGAGACGAGGTCATAATGGTCAGCGTATTTACGCATCAAAGATACCTTGATAAAAATAAAGCTTTGCAAATTGCTTCGCTCGAGGAAACTGTTAAGCTGCTAGTGTGTTCAGGAGATGAAATGATCATCAAGAAAAGCAGTCTATTACTTGATGTTGCAGCCTTAGTCAAAGTAAATGTAAAAAGTTTAAAGCACTTCAGTATAACACTAGCACTTCAGTATAACGCTATATATCACTCATGATTGGAGTCCTACGCTACTGGCATAGATCTCCAATCATGAATTATATATAGTGTTATACTGAAGTGTTAGTGTAAAGAGAGCAAAAGATGGCGCACAGGAGAAGCAAAGAACAACCCACAATCGCACAGCAGACTGACCTCTCGATCCCTATGATCTGTTCCGCCCTTTGTGATAAGTATATAAATCTGCGATTTTGTTGTATAATTCAGCTTAGCAGTGTTCAGTGTTGATTGCTCCGTGTTAGGCGTTACGGCGTTTGCCGTTAACCGTTCTCCGTCTGCAGCGATATCGCTGCAGCTCATCCTCCTTAGCCCAACGGACCCAAGTTTAAACTGTGAACTTTTTACTGTGTTGATAAAGTTCGTTTTGGTTATCCCAGCGTCTCCACCAAGCACAGTCAGCAACATCGTCATTCATCCAAGTATCGTCCGAATATCGTTGTCCGAACAATCGTCGTACCATCGTCCGAACAACGTCATCGTAACATGGCGGCTGAGCCGGCTGAATTGCAATTGTAAGGCGATCCAGCAGAACGAAAGAATCGAAAGAAACAACGACATTGCGGCGAGCCCGGGGATCGGGTAAAAAGCTAGAAGTTCAAAGCAGCATTTAAGCTGCTAGTGCGAAACCGGCAGTTGCACTGCGGGCCGGAAAAACGGCAATTGACACAAGTCGTGAAGGCTTGGGAGGGGGCGAACGCGACAGCGAGCAGTGTGGGGGTGATGCCCCATTCGACATGGAAAGTGGGGATTTCGATTTCGGAGAGGTAAGAGGGTTTACGGAGAAGTTTTAGGTCAAGGTAGAATGGGCGATAGAATGGCTCTGTGTTGGGAGCATAAACGAAATTAGCGAGGCTCTGGAGGAGGTCCAGGCGCGAGTGATGGAAGGAGTGGTGGCCATCTGGGGTGCCATCACGAAAGTCGAAGAATGCTTATCTTCTCTTCAAGCCGGAGCTCATTATGTGATACTTGATTATCAATCCTTTTAATATCGCTCTTGATTGAATTCAGCTCTTAGAAGTAACCAGGAGAATGTAAAGCAAGTCGTGGTCCGAAAACAAAGGAGCAGAAGATCGGTCCAGAAAAACGGTGCGTGCTGCAACCCAGCATGCGATATGTGGGTGGAGCAGCCAAACAGCTGCTCCTAAATTTTGATGTAGCTCCATCGGCTGCATCACCGGATGAGAATGTACGAAGTCAGTGTGGATGACTAGACAAAGTGGAAATTATAGAAGTAAACGACGAAGAAGCGTAGGAGGGAAAGGCGGATAA